GTCAATTAATTATAGACTAAACGAAATTGTATGTCTATTTCTATTGTTTTTTTTTTTGAAAACTTTTTTCATGTTCATATCATCAATCTGGAGTTAAGCGATAATAAAAAATTTATATATGAAACAACATTGTTTGAACTCTGTTGGATTGTTGCTATTTAATAATTCATAAGAAAACGATTAATAGAAATTGATTCAATTCATATATTATTTATTTCCAATAAGATCATAATTATCAATTAATCATGATGAGACTTCAGTTTTCTTATATAACTTATAAATTTTCTTAATTTCCATTATATATTTAAATGTTCAATTTCGTCTTATTCATTTTTCTTCAAGATTTTCTATTATGTTCTAAACTAAAAATGAATTTTATTTGAAACATAAGTTTTTGTTACTTTGTATATTGAGGGTAAGAAGTTTAATTGAACGATGAATTATTGGAATATCGAAGTAAAACAAAATATTGTTTATATGTATATCTCTGAGTGCAATGACCTCAATGCATTTTTTCTGCTTCAAATAGCTCGATAGTTCAATTTTTGAATGCTCTCCGACTGAGCATAAAGATCTTTCGTCTATATTCCATATGTTTTATTGAAACAGACGTACGTATTCGATATGATAAACATTAGTATAACAGGTGTGATGAAAAAAAAAAGCTTTCCTTTCTAACTTTTATTAATTTTTTTTGTTATTAATCAATTGATAATCATGTCAATAAATAAAATGTGATTGTTGGTGTAAATAATTTTATATTGAAAGCTAAAAAAAATTACACTCTGTTTTTGTATGATATGAATTTTTTTTTCTAATCAACCAATCAGGTAGGCGCTTTTGTTTTGACTGACCAACAAGAAATGAAAGAATATCGTAGAGAAAAAAATGAACATACATACAAGAGGTAGCCAAATGGCAAGTCTTAACTTGTCAGTCGCGATATTTATATATGCAAAATGTCTAGTCTGAAATAAATTAAAATATTAACATCTATTTTATCTCTCTTTATTGATATTATTTGAAACGAAATATCTTGTTTGTGTCATCCATGCTTTAAACATATTATGATAGCATCATCAATCCAAGAAAAACAAAGAAGTGATTTCTGTTCATTATTGAGCGTAGAATTAGATGGTGTGTAATTGAGTGAACGTATCCAGTTGATTTTTTTCATATTATTGTTTATCGTACCCTTGATTTATGAGACATGATTGAATAAGACACGAAAATAAATGGAAAGAAGAATGAAGTTTCTATGATGACGTTTAAGTTCTCTGTACACTTGTCAGTAAAAAATCAACATGGCTTATCGTTTAAAAGTATTGTGTAAGTTATCGAAACATAACTGAATGTAACTAACGATGAGATGCATTGCAAGCATAATCAATGTAGAAATGTGTTTAATTTAAAAGTTTAACCTTTTATCAAAATGACTTGTCTTTTATCGATTATCAATCGGTATGAGTTCATTAGAATGACACCTGTTGTTCATAATAATGAGTATATTATTTGATTATTGTAGTGGAGTGCGGCTTCACTGTCATCATCATCTTTTTGATATAATTCTTTTTTTGAGTCTGTATCAAAACAAAAATAAGGATAAAACAGTTAATTTAATCTCATTCTTGTTTCGCCTCATGACTTTTCAAGTAGTAAATGATCTCATTTGTAATTGTGTGTCTTCAGGCAAAACATAAGTCCAATTATGTTTTGCTTGTATTATTGCATTTATATTTTAAAAGACAATCTTTCATTCGAGTAGAATCAGTTAAAATCCGATGAAGAACTTTTTCAAATAATCAATTTGATCAATCTCTTAGAAGCAACTCTCCTTTTCGAATGATGTGTCTCTCCAACAGCAGAGTATCAAAGCAATCGAATCGAAAAATTCTATCATCAATCACTAATGTTGTATCTGTGCCATCATCTGCATTTTTGATGACAATCGTGTCTATTAATAACAATGAATCAGAATTCGTTGAAATATCACAAAAGTTTCTGGTATATTTCAATGTTTTTCTCTTAGCTGAAATTTTAAAGACAAAGTTTTTATTCTCAAAATTTCGAATATATTATACACAATGCGACGGATGCTGTTTCGCAGGGATTTATAGGAATACGAAATCAGCTGAACTTGAAGAATAACGTTGATTGACAGTGATGAAAGTCGGTCAATTGGAGAAATCGATTTGCTAAAGTGAAATTTAAAAGTCTCTATCGCGAATTTCATCGACATAATCAACAAAAACACATAACAAAATTCGATTTCTATTTGTTCAAATCTAATGCTTTGTTTTTACATAATTAAAGAATATAACGGCAACGGATGGTTTACGTCTTTTTTTTCTCTATTTCCATTTTCAATGTTGTCTTTTGCGAATAATAATCAATCGAATCGCTAGTGAGAAATTGAGCACAAAGCTGAGAAACTTATTCTATTCCAAAAAAAAAAAACTAATAATTAGAGGTCTCAGAATCAGATCTTTGTTCTCAAATAATCACCTGTTCTGAATGTTATCAAAGATTTCAAAATGCTACTCAACAGAATAATCAAATGGTCACATCATGCCATACAAAAATTGAGAAGATGCATTGAAAAGATGTTATCAATTGAATAGATAGCAAATCGTTGTTTTTTGCAGTATCTAGATGGAACAAGGACAATGGAAAAGAACAAAACGATGTTTGATATCTATGGAAAATTGCTGAAATTTATCAACGAAACTTTACCATTGAATTGAAATGAACAATATATTAATGCACAGATTATTATTTTCCGAATCGTCATGATTAACATTCATCCTGGAGAAAAAAAACAATGAAACAAAGCTATCGTCGTTGATCATCGTCAGTGAATCTTTTATTTTCCAACAATATATTGAAGATTTCATTAGATGTTGGTGATTATCATCTTTCATTCTCATCGAATAAAAGTTTGTATGAAACTATTAGAAGATAATAATCATTTGAATACGATTTCTTATTTGCTCTTTTTATCGAAATCGAATGTTGGCTCAACATAAACTCGTTGCTCAACAAATGATCATAGTAACCTCAGATCATAAGATCAAATCTTTATAGCTATTTTCGAAATTTTAATAAACTGCTGATATTGAACATGTATATTATCCTGTTAGTTCTTACAAGAAAAACTAAGCCGAAAGTTTTGTTTTTTGATAATTCTTGTTCATTCATTTTGGCTATAATGTTTGGAATCAATCAGAGATCTAGTGTAGTCTTTCAAAGCATGAGGATTATTACTCATCCTCATCTCAAATATAAGTGAAAAATGATGTCGATGTCAATTAATCTGGATGCTTCACCCTACAGTAAAACGTTTTTTTTTGTTGTGTAGCTCTCAAAGATATCGTCTAAAACCAGTAAGCTTGATGTAATACAAATCGCTATATTAAAGTTGCTCAACTAGTGAAAGAAATTTTAAGCTTAGAGGAGCCACCTCAAAAATGAAAATTTCTTCTGAGCATCCAATCTTGATGAAATTTCCAGTGAAGGTATATCTCGAGCTAAACATCTCACAGTAAAAATTTTAGCTCGATATATTGAGTCTACGGAGAGTTAACTTAAGATTACATGGGTTAAAATTTAGATTTCCCTGCGCCCCAAAATTTTTCGGCATTTCAAATGTTAGAAAGGTCAAGTTGGTCTTAAAATGTAGTCAAGATGTGGCGCTACAACTTAACAGAGTCTGATTTTCCAATTTTCTCTTAGTTTGTGTTTTTAGAAAACTCCTCTGATGAAGTATGAAAAACCCAAGGGGTATAACTACAGAACAGTTAATTTTTTATAAACATTAATGGAGAAATCGAAAAATCCGGTTCTGTTAAGTTGTAGAGCTAGTTTTCGCCTTCATTTTGATACCAAGCTCAACTTTCTAGCATTTAAAATGGCGGAGAGATCTGGAACGCACGAAAACATAAAAATCAAAAATCCTATTTTGAGAAAAAGCCAAAAGTCTTTAGAAAAAAACGTTATTTTCTTCTGTGGGACGTTCAGAAAGACCTATGTAATATCCTTAAGTCTCATCACAAAATCAATAAGCTATAGTGCATTCGAAAATGGACACTAATCTATCTAACAAGCTATAAATCACAAAATCGACAAGCTTGACCAAAATTGACTTTTTTAAGGAGTTCTTAACAAAATAATACAATGAGAACTAGGCTTCAATTGAAGATGATGATCGGTCTATTTTATCTAACATTGATTTGATAAAAAATGATCTTAATTGTCAATCAAAAAATGAATTTTTCCAAATTTTCTGCATAGGAAATAGCACGATCATACATGTATTCAATGTTAGCAGTCTATTGAAATTTCGAAAGTAGTAGTTATAAAAATTTGGTTTTATGATCCAGGTAGAACACTTAATGGGGCGCATCTTTTGAAAGAAACAATCAATATTTTATCATGTTCCTGAACAAAGCCACATGCACAACAAAGAATATCACAAAACTTTTGCCACACCTGATATATGTGATTGTCATAGTATATGTACTCGAGTATATGCCACCGAATAACAATCAAGGGGAAAGAGCGAGACTTCGGAGTGTACTGAAGTCTCATATATTCTCCCTTGATGAGCTGCATAATTGCTTGTTTTATTTGGGTGTGTATTTTTTTTCAAGAGTACATATTATACTCATATGCTTGCAGTTCTCTTTCGATTAATATTTAAATTAGAAACTATAAAAAACATTTTTACCACATAATTTATTTGTCTTCTATTGTTATGATATCAGCCATATAATAGTTCTCTTGAATTATAAATTCTATGCTTATTTTCTTTTTAAAATAAGTTATCTTCATGGAATCGATACAAGACAATTAGAATAGGAAATAATAAAAAAACAAAATGAATTTTCATTTGTTTTTACTTATTTCATCGCAAGCAAAACAGTCTCCAGCTTACATAGAATTTTTATTTTACGAAGTTATACAATACAAAATAAAAGAAATCTGTAAAAAAAAATTCATAATTAACTTTTGCTATCAGCAGAATCATCACTACCACCACAACATTTTCGATCATTTTTCGATTTGTTATCTGGTTTATCTTGTACATTAAGTGTATTACTACGTGCATAACTGCCTGGTGAACGTGGTTGTAATTGTTCAGTATGTTTCATAACCTTAAAACAAAAAAAGGAAAAAAAACTTGAAATTAATATGGAAAAAAAAAATATTTCATCAATTACTTCACTAATAAGAAATCGAGCTGCTGCTTCAATATTTATATTTTCTTTAGCTGATGTTTCAAACCAATTAGCAAAACCTTTTGCTCGACAAAATTCATCCATTTGTTGAGCACTATTAACTAAACCTTCTCTAGCTAAATCACACTAAAATTAAAAAAAAAAGAAATTCAACATTTTTAATTTTCTTACGAAATTTATCTTCAATAAAAAAAAAGAAAAATTCTACTTTATTAGCAAGTAATACACATGGTACAGGGTTTCCATCAGGCAATTGAACTTTATTATCTAAATCTGTTTTCCATTTAGTAACAGCTTCAAAAGTTGATCCTCGTGTAACATCAAAAACAATAAAACAACCCACTGCTTCTTTATAATAAACACGAGTCATATTACCAAATCGTTCTTGACCTGCGATATCCTACAAACAAGCAAAAATATCTTCATATCATCACAAGAAAAACAAAAAAAAACCTCACATACCCACAGTTGAAGACGAATAACAGTATCATCATCGTATTTAACAATTTTTAATGCAAAATCAACACCAATCTATGAAAAGAAAATTATTAAATTAGGACAAAAACAAAGACATTGTTTTTCAAAAATCTACAGTTGCTCGATAATGTTCGGAGAAAAAGTTATGGACATAACGTTTGACGAGTGCTGTTTTTCCAGTGGCTAATTCACCAATAACAAGTACTTTGAATAAATATTCTTTTTTCTGATCCATATTTGAAGGAGGTGCAGTAGGTGTTGTTGACTATATAATGAATATAAATTGAATATTGAATACAAAACATAAAACACAAAATCCTGATTTTTGGACTATTTATCTACTTACCATTATTTTCAACAGAATGAAAATGAAGAAAGATGAAGATATGTATGTGAACTTGAATCAGTTGAGATATGAAATGAAAAAGATATAGATAAGAACTCATTGTTATTTTTTTGTATGCGTGTATACTGAATTAATCATCATATTAAGTGTTTGTGCTTTTCATTTGTTTATAACTTTTGTAATAACATAATAATAGTTTTGTTTTCGTCACATTGACAAAGGCTTTTTCTTGTTAAATATTATTTAAAAAAATATATAGTAATTGATTAGCTGATATACAAGGTGGCCCATAAGTCACCGGGCAGTCTTTTTTTTCGAAAAACTTTTGATAGGAACAAGATATAGGCTTGTGGTTTTCACCATTTGAAAGAGCGATGTTCGGACTATCGATCTATATAATATTCACTAAGACGAGAGATGTTTTTTCATAGAAGTTTTTCAATTGACATCCTTTTTTCTGTATATTTTCATAGATTTCCGCAATAATCTCGTCTCAAATTACGCAAAAATGTACCTTAAATAACCCATTTTTCCTTATAAAATTATCACTTTTTTACCGAAGGTTCACTTGAAAAAAGATATCGATGGAATAATGTATAAAGTAATAACTTTATAACGAAAAATGGGTGATTTAAGCTACATTTTTGCGTAATTTGAGACGAGATTATTGCGGAAATCTATGAAAATATACAGAAAAAAGGATGTCAATTGAAAAGCTTCTATGAAAAAACATCTCTCGTCTTAGTGAATATTATATAGATCGATAGTCCGAAAATCACTCTTTCAAATGGTGAAAACCACAGGTCCCTATCTTGTTCTTATCAAAAGTTATCCGAAATAAAAGACTGCTCGGTGACTTATGGACCACCCTGTATATTCATCAACATTTGTTATGCTGTTCATTTTTCAACAAATACTTCAGTGATGAAAATCCATTTTGAGAGATAAGATATCGGAAATGCAAAATTAACGTACAGATTTTTCTCTTTATATATGGTTAGATAGAGTATGATGATATGATCAAGAATGTGTGAGTTTTCAATTTTTTTCATTTCCTTTAAATTTCAAAACCAGTTTTTGTTTTCAGATTTAGGATGAAAACTGAATCTAGAGAAGTCATTTATAAATGACTTCCCTAGATTCAGTTTTTCTTCTAAATCTGAGAACCAAAAATGGTTTTGAAATTTAAAGGAAATGAAAAAATTGAAAAGTTGTAAGTTATCGAAAATTGACCTCTTTTTCAGAAAAAGCAGGTCATCTGAAAAAACTGAAAAATTCTTCTTTAAAAATCATTCCAGAAAATTGTAAAACTATATGTTCTTGATCAGCTCGTCATGCTGTATCTAACTATGTATACAGAACAGTAAAAATAAAAAATTCTGCTTTAATTTTGCATTTTTGACAAATTTTCCTTTTATTCTTTTTTAATAAAATAATATAATGAGGATCATACATATTAATATACATATGAATGATGTACTGTAAGGAAAAATCGAACATATAAATATCATATAGTAATACGTTCTACGATTTCTCATTGATTAATTCGACCCAATGGTCAATCGTCGGAAACAGCTTCACATATAGAAAAAGTTCAATATAACATTTCACATCTATTAACAAGTAAATGTATACTAAAACAAAACTGTTTCTGTACAACTCTATCTGTACATTTAAATAGTGAAAAAATAGATTTTAGAATGATATTAAAAACTTTGAAAACATGTTATGATATTGAATATATTATATTTGATTGAAATTAATTCATACATGACATTACTATTGCAACTGTGAAAACTAATTCTGAACAGAATACTTTTTTGTCCTTTCGGGATTTTTATTAATATTCAGTTCATCAAAAAAAAAAGACAAGTGACATAAAAAAATGTTAATAATAATTCACAAGTATTATGGTTAATAGATCAGTCTTTTATATATATATATTTTCCATCTTAGAAATTTTCTGTATCTTATAATTGAGTTCTCAGTTTACTCATGGAGTCAAAAAATTAAAAAAATTTCATGAATTTTATATTAAAAATACGGGAAAAATGGCATTTCTGATGATGAAATAGGCAAAAGATTGATGTTTTTCGAATTCATTAATGAAAAGTGACATATTAATTAAGCAAATGCAATGAATTTCATTTTTAATCAAAATGATGCCATGAAATTAAAGAAAATGTCTATTTCAGTCGATGAATTTGAAATATATTATTTTTTTTTTGTTTTATTTTTAATTTTATGTTTTACAACTGACTAAAT